ATAGCAGAAAATAGCTATCGAAACGTCAAGGTAATTTTTCAAATTAATTTCTCTACTAATTGGGATTTTCTCTTACAGCTTGAGCCTAAGTGTGTTTTGATTAGTTTTTGATAAATAATTCGTTCTTATTGCGAAATAGGAGCACTATTTATCAATCTGTAATAAAAAACGTGAGGAAATTCTGTCTCTTTTTGAAAATTTTTGAGTCGAAATACCCAAAAAAAGTTTCAACACCATGGAACTTATCTAACACTGTGTTGACACGCCATTTGCGCTAGCGCCTACCTTTGTCGACGAGAAACTGGGCGACTGGGAGCGCGCCCCGGTAGAGGGCGACCATCAGGGGCGTGCGCCCACTGAACAACTGCGGCTGATTGACGTCGGCGCCCAACGTGACCAGCAGCTGGACGACGCCCAGATCGCCGGCCTCCAGCGCCTGGACGATCGGCGTTTTGTGCTCCTTGTTTGGCACGTTGAGGAGGCGCGGGCTGCACCTGCAGGCTTCGAGCCAGAGAAGGAGCGAAACAAGGGGGAGTTCAAACGTACCTGTGCAGGGCGAGTTTCCGGATCAGGGCGCTGTTGGCCAGTTTGACGGCGCGCGTCATGTGCAGGGCGGCGCCCTGCGGACTGGATGGTTCGGTGGCCGCCCGGAAGGGGCGCCACTGGGCGCTCGCGTCGCCCCTCAGCCGGAAGCGGTAGCAGGTGGCGGGCGCCAGCCGGGGGACGTGGGCGTGGCACTTGGGGCCCCTAGAAGAGCAGATGGGCGCCTAGAAGAGCACTGGGGGGCGATGGGGGGCCGGCTGTTACCAGTAGACGGTTCTCCATTGCTGGAAGGGGTCGGCGATCTGCAGGCGGGTCCAACTGGGGGCCGTGGGGGGGCGCCATCGCAGGGTTAAAGCGGTGGGGCTTCGCTCCTGCACGGTCGCGGGCGGCTCCATTTTGCTATTGATCAAACAGCGCTCTTTCCCCGCGCGGTTTGCTGCAGGCGGCGCTAGAGGGCGCGCTTTTTTCGCCAAATTTACAATAACTGTGAGAAAACTCTCCAAGTGGTAGATAAGTTCTATATTGTTGAGCGAATTTTCATATACTGTATTATCCCACTATTGTTACACAATTTATTAACATACTCTTTTTATCAATCTGTAATAAAAGACGTGAGGAATTTCTTCCTGGGACATTTGTGAAATTTTTCAGAAAAACGCCTGTCGGCGTCTGGAAAACAGGAAATTGCCATAAAAATTATCTAGCGGGTCGATGATTGAAACTGGCCAGTTTTTGGCAAAATTTTCAAGTTTTTCGAAAACCGTTGGATGAACCGCCATTTCGATCACAGATTCGGTTTTCTGGGCCGATTTCAGCTGAAAATGAGTACCATGTCGATAGGAAAAATTTCCAAAAAAATTTCAAATTTTCAAAACAAAATGTTTAGTTGCCAACAAATCATTATTAAAAAATAAAAAAAAATCAAAATTGCAATCTTTTGATGCGAGTGGAATTTTCGTGCAACGCACGAAATGCGTTTAGCGTTGCGTTTTTTGCGATTGGTGTCTATTTCTTTGTGGCTGCTTGCTTGAATTGGAAATGTTCGATCGTCTCACGCGAGTGGAGTTTTTGTTGTGCAACGCTACCTGCTTTAGTTTGAAAATTTCGGTCTTCTGATGGGAGTGGAGTTTTCGTCGTGCACCGCTTGCAATTGGGTTATCGTTGCGTTATTTGCGATTAGTGTCTATTTCTGTGTGGCTACTTGCTGAAATGTGGAATCTTGGATCGTCTGATGCGAGTGGAGTTTTCGTCGTGTAACGCTCGCAATGGATTTAGTGTTGCCTCATTTTGCGATTACCGCCTATTTTTACTCCTGGTTTGTCGAATTAATTTTTTTTCTTGTCTGTTTTTGTGATGCAAACGGAGATTTCGTTGTTGCACACTCGTTGTGTCTATTCCTATGTCGTTATTTTTTTTAATATGATAATTTTGTACGTTTGATGCGAATGGAGTTTTCGGCGACGCTCGAAATGAGCTTAGCCTTACGTGATTTGCGATCAGCGACTATTTTTCTTTATTAGTTTTTGTCACGTTGAATATTCAGCTTTTCAGTGACCAAGAGAGTTTTTGCCGTGCAAACCACAAACTGGGTTTAGCCTTTAACAGGACACGTTCTGCGGTTTGTGTCTATTTCTACTCCGCATTAGTCGTTGTCGCAATTCTCCGATTTGTTTATTAAATCTCTGTTGTTGTAAATGGAATTTTGGTCGGGCGATACTCAAAGTTAGTTTAGCCTTACGTTATTTGCGATTAGCTTCCATTTTTGCTACTTTCGGTATTCTGAACTTTAGTTTTGAAACACTCTTGATTCTCGTTTTCTCTATGTTCACGAATATTTTTTTAACTCTTGTTGCAAATGGAGTGTTCGTTGTGCGACACTCGACAGCGGTGATTTGCGATTAGCGTCCATTTTTCAGCATTAAAATATTCGCGAAATTAGTTTAGCGTTGAACGAAAAAATTGTTTTACGGTTGGCGATTTTTCGTTTTCGCTATTTTATCGAGCTTTTATTTAACTCGCTTGCTAGAAATGAAGTTTTTATCGTTGAACACTCGAAATCAGTTTAGCGTTACGTTATTTGCGATTAACGTCCATTTTTCCGAATTAGTTTTTGCTACTTTGAATAGTCGCCTATCCAGTACGGGAACAGGCGCCCCATCTGCATCCCGTTGCCGGAACTGTCGGGCCTAATGAATCTGGCCAAGCCCGATATGAAGAAGCTGAAGGGCCCCATTCCGCGTCTGGCGCTTTTTCTTTTTTTTTTCGATGATATTTATGTTAATAGCGATTATATAGAATAGTGTGTGCCTGTCACGATAAAATATGTTTTACACTTTGTAATAGTTAAATTTCCATTGGGATATGTGTCAATAAACAAGAACAGTTATTTTCTATTAATTGACTCTCTCTCTCTCTCTCCCGATTTTGCGCCGACAGTGAAATTTCCAATAAAACTGTGCGAAAACTCCTTGTTCCCGTTATTCTAGCAGTGCTCTTTCTCCTCTTTGCGAGTGGAGATTTCGTCGTGCAACCTTCGCAAAACTGTGCGAAAACTCTCCCTTGCTCTCGCTATCTTGAACATTCTGCTTTCCTGGTAGAAATCGACTGCGCCGAAGCATTGAAATTTCCGGTGAAGCTGTGCGAAAACTCTCTTTGACTCCTGCTCTTCTCGCTACCTCCTTCAACATTCTGCTTTCCTGGTAGAAATCCACGGCGCCAAAACATTGAAATTTCCAGTAAAACAGTGCGAAAACTCTCCTTTGCTCCTGGTCTTCTCGCTATCCTTCAACATTCTGCTTTCCTTGTAGAAATCCACGGCGCCAAAACATTGAAATTTCCGGTGAAGCGGTGCGAAAACTCTCTTTGACTCCTGCTCTTCTCGCTACCTCCTTCAACATTCTGATCGAAACCACGGAATTATAATATATAAAATTTTAATTAAAAAAAAATCGCAACAAACTAATACAAAAAGGTTTATTCAAGTATATAATAATCTCACACGGGCACACGCATTAATGAACATCCACAAAAATAAAATTTGTTAAATAAAACCGCTCCTAAAAAAAAATACACAAACCGGGCGTCGACTAGACGCCGCACCCCCGATAACATCCACATTTGGCCTGTCGGCGCATCCGCCATCCCGTCCATCACCTGCGCCCATCACTCGGTGATCCTCGTCTCGAAATTATCCCCACTCGTGCTGGCGCTCACCATCGTGCTCTTCCCATTGGTGCGATCCAGCGAATCCGCCGTCCGGCTGCTCTTGCGCCTGCGCTCCCTGCGCGCCTCCCCACTGATGTTCGTGCTCTGCGTCGTGTTGCCTAGGCTACAAACCGAAACTGGAGCTCAGACCACGAGAGGGCGCCACGCGGCACTCGTTACCTGGACGACCGGCCAGACGTCAGGCTGCTCTGGCTGTCGTGCAATCGGCTGGACGACGGCTTGCCCACGTCCCAACCGATGGGCGGCTCGGCCGGACACAAAGTCTGCGAGTCGGACGTGTGGCTCGACTTGGCGGAGCCCGCCAGATGGCGCTGCGGCGTCGGTTGGGCGGCGCCGCCCGACTTGAAGTAGGCGCCTGCAATCGGGCGGTTAGAGCAAAAGGGGGCGGGGCTTGGGGGCGTGGCTACGTACCGTTGGTGCAGCCGCTCTGCCGCCACACGCGCAGGCGATCGCCGATCTCCTTGAAGTGGGGGCGGCGGTTCGCCTGCTCCGCCCAGCATTCCACCATCAGGGCGTAGCAGTAGCTGGGGCATGCGTCCGGACATGGCAGCAACTTCCGGGCGCGGATCATGTTGATCACTTCCTGGTTGTTGTAGCCGTAGTAGGGCTGCAAAATTTGGCAACACTTTACTAGAGGCTGGACAAAAATTCGAAAATGTCTTAAGGGCTTTTCCGAAATTTTTGCAACAATTCCAAACACCAGTTTAGATAGTGGACAATTTCAGAAGCAATTAAAAATCCACATTTTCCCAAGTCTCTCCACTCTTCCACCCTTTCCTTTTTTCACTCTTTCCGCTTACTTACCTCTCCCCACTCTCCTTGTCCGTGTTCATCTTTCTCTCTTCTCTGTCACCTTTCACAACCCCTAAATTATTTTCCTTCTCCTCTACCCTACCACTCACTCCACTCTTCCCTCTCCCCTATTATCCCCAGTCTCCATTCGATTGTTTCTCACTCCTCTCTATCACCTTTCTCAYCCATCTCTCGTCTTTTTCGTTTATCTCTCAGCCTTGTCATTCCTCTCGCCCCCYCTCTCTTCTCWTTCRTTCCTTCGCTMCTCTCATTYCAKCACTGTCCTCATCCCTCCACKCCCTTCTTCTCTCACTCYCTCACCCCTATTTTTCCCCTCTCTGCTTGGTCTCTCTTCTCTTTCCTCTCTTACCACTTAGTAAAAAAATTAYTTAGGCATTACAAAACAGAGAGGAGAGAAAAAGGGAAGAGAAGGGAMGCGAAAGGAAAGAGATAGAAATGACAGAGGAGATCACTAGAGATAAGAGACGGTAGAGGGGAGACAGAGGTGATCGAGAAAGGAGAGAAAGGGAAAACATAATTATAGAGAATCTTCTCTCTCAACCCTTTCTTCTCTTTCCTCTCTCACCCCTCTAAGATAAGATAAGATAAGACAAGAGAGGAGAAAAAAGAGATGGGAAAGGGAAAAAAGAGGGGGAAAGAGAGGCAAGCAAGAGAGATAATGCAGAGAGGAAGAGAGAAAGGAAACAAAAAAGGCGAGAAAGCAAAGAGAGAGAAAATTACTGAGAGATTACTAGGGAGAGGGGGAGATAAAGGAGGTGATAGGCAACAGCGAGAGGAGACGGGAAAGAAGAGAGAGGAGTTTACTAGAGAAGAATATCAATCTTGTGAAAACATGAACAGCCGACGGAAAACCAGCTCACAGCGGACGCACGTCGGCTTGACGCGATGGCGAATGCTCCAACTATTTTTATTGAGGAAAATAGGCGCATTCGCCTTTCTTAATTTGTCCAGAACGGTGTAAAATATTCTACTTTTAATGGCGGATGCGCCCCGAAGTGCTCACCTGCAGCCCGTAGCTGTAGATCTCCCACAACACGACGCCGTAGCTCCACACGTCCGACTCGGTGGTGAATTTCCCGTAGAGAATGGACTCGGGCGGCATCCAGCGCACCGGCAACAGCGACTTGGACTGGACGCGATAATAGTCGCACGAGTACATGTCGCGACTGAGCCCAAAATCGCTGATTTTGACCGCCAGATCGCGCGACACCAAACAATTGCGGGCGGCCAAGTCGCGATGCACGTAGTGGTTCTCGGCCAGATACTCCATGCCGTGCGCGATCTGCACCGCAATGTCCAGGAACTGTTCGTCGGCGAGACTCTGGCCGTTCTCCGGCGAGTTCGCGATCAGAAACTCGTGCAAATCGCCCTCGGACATGTACTCGAACAGCATGCACATCGGCTCCTGTTTGACTACGACGCCCAACAAGCAAATGATGTTCGGGTGCTTCAGCTCGGAGATCAGCTCGATCTCGCGCTGAAAGTCCGCCTGCGTCTTGGCGGACGCGTTCTCCTTCAGCGACTTGACGGCGACGAACACTTTGCCGGCTTTGGCGCGCAGCTCGCCCTGGTAGACCTTGCCGAACGCGCCCTCGCCCAGCTCCTTGATGAAGCGCACCTCCTTGTAGGTGTATTGGGGCAGGCTCTGGTAGCCCAGCTTGCTGTGGGCGTGGCTGCGCTGCGCGCCGCCCACGCCCCCTGGCGGCAGCAGGCTGTTCAACTCGATCGGGCTGGAGGGCCCCGCGTTGCCGTAGATGTTCTTGTTGGCCTGCGGCAACTCCTACGGCAAAAGAGCGTCAAAGTTGACATTTCCTCAGCGCTAAGAAAACAGTTCAGTCTGGCAACACCGGAAATTTCAATCACATGGCGCCAAATCCCGATTTTTGCCCGCTTGGCAACACTTGACCCAAAAAGACGGTTTCCCCACAACTGCACCATCTGTGCAAAAAATCCGCAACTTCCGCTCGAGAGAAGGCAGCGAGTTGCAACTTTGCCCAACCCAAGAAGACGCTTGAATCTGGCAACGCCGCAAATTTCAGTCACATGGCCCCAAATCCCGATTTTTGCCGGCTTGGCAACACTTGACCCAAAAAGACGGTTTCCCCACAACTGCACCATCTRTGTAAAAAATTCGCAACTTCCGCTCGAGAGAAGGCAGCGAGTTGAAACTTTGCCCAGCCCAAGAAGACGCTTGAATCTGGCAACGCCGCCAATTTCAGTCAAACGGCCCCAAATCCCGATTTTTTGGGCAACTTTCACACAAAACAGCAAAACTCACATGTTGCAGGCTCCTGGCGACCTTGCCGCGCCTGCGGCAGTAGCAGTAGCCGAACAGCAGGCTCACCAGGATGGTGATCACCAGCAGCACCCCCACCACGTAGCTCCCGAACACGTAGACTGAAAAACGCAACGTTAAACTGGGGGGAGGCGCATCCACCCAAACGTCCAGGGCCAACTCACCGCACTTGGGCACGCCGCACAGCTCCGTCCGGCTGTTCTCCACGTAGCAGAAGGGGGCCGCCTCGGCCTCGCCGGGGTTCCTGCAGTAGTTGTGCCCCGCCAGCTCCGGATAGTCGGACGGCAGCAGGTGGAACTGGTGCGACCACTTGATGCACTGCTCGCCCGTCACTGTCGTGTTCCGCACGCCCCTGTACAGCTTCCCCGCATCCCAGTAGCACTGCTCGTCTACCGGGACCGAACCCCCCATCAGACTGCGCTCGCCCCCCACCACACCGCACTCACCCTTGTTGCCCTTGAAGTCGCCCACGCCCAGCGAGAGACAGTGACTGGAACTGGGGTCCATCTCCACCGGCAGGCTCTCGCACACCTCCAGCTCCATGATCTGGCCTGCAACAGTCGGAATTTAGCCTCAAGCATAGCGGGGGGGACGCGCCCCGCACTCACCGATCACCGGGTGGCGCTTCGCGATCGAGTACTCCTTGCTGCAGAGCTCCGTCTCCAGCAGGATGCACTCGTCGCGGCACACGCGCCGCAGGCTGTTCGTCAGCTGTTTGCGGATGTTGCGGAACTTGCGGCGCGACTCGTTGCCGATCAGCCGGAACTCCTGCCGGTGCCTGTGCTGGTACTGGTCGACCACGCGATGGTCCAGACAGAGCGGGAAGGCGGAGAAACAGATGCTGGGCTGCGCAAACTTGCTGCAACTGCTCGAGATGTCGCTGCGCAAACCAAAGCCCCGCCCCCAGTTACCAGCGCCATCTACCGGCCGCCCGCTCTACTCACTTGGAGCGCGTGATCACCGAGAAGGCGTTGAACAGCTTGTTCTCGACGTCCTCCTGCGTGAACGGCGGCTGCACGAACACGTACTTCTGCGCCAGGAACGTCTTGCAGACCTGCCCCCTGAAAGAGACGCGGCTAATTGTAGCCCCCTTGGAATACAACGTTGCCACGATCTAATGTTCTGTCAGGTATCGTGTCAAGTGTCAAATCTTAAAAAGGTGGGGGTTAGAACTCTCTCTCTTTCTATAATAACGCCTCAAAGCAGCCGAAATCTGGCAACAAAGTATTCCARGGGGGCTCCTCCTGAAAGGGCGCGGTTCGCGTCAGCATCCCCCCCCCCCAAAAACACCCCCACCACTCACTTGTACAGCTGGCAAAAGGGCTCGGAGCCGTTGTAGACCACGCCCTCGCTCTCGCTGTTGTCGGTTAGGCGGCCGCTGCTGTCCAGGTCGAAAGTGATGGGGACACTGAAGGTCTTCGCCTTGTGGGGCTCGCTGGCGCCCCCCAGCGCCCGCCCCTCGGCGCTGGGCAGAAACGTCGTTAGATCGCCGCCGTCGCTGTTGCCAAAGTTCAGCGCACTGATGGCGGTGCTGCCTGCAAAACCCACGCCTCAGTGCATGTCTGGTTGCCGGCGACGGCACTCACCCCACTTGGGCGCCTCCGGCGTGACGATCAGGGAGCAGTTGGCGCGGATGCGATCCATGCCGTTGCTCGCGATACACTCGACGAATCCCTGGTCGAAGAACTCCAGCTTCCGTATCGTTAACACCGACCTCCAGTTGCCGTCCTTTTCCTGCGGGTTAAAACGCGCCGGTTAGGGCGCCATCTACCGGCCGCTGGCCGCACTCACCTTGACCTGCCGGAACTTCATGCGACTGTCGCGCCGCACCTGTACCTCGTTGATCTTCCACAGGAAGTTGACGCGGGTGCCGTTCGGGTCGGAGTTGTGCACGTGGCAGGCGAACTTCGCGGTTTTGCCAGGGTCGCGCGTGACGTTCACCAGGGGCGCCAGCAGCGCCAGCGTGCCTGCAAACGCGCCGAAACTTTCAAAACTCCCCGCCTGCCCTTGCCTAGGGGGCGCCAGCTCACCGTTTGACGTGGCATTGACAGCTGACAGGTCGTCATCGTCGTAGTCGTCGTAGTCCTCGTAGTCTGTCAGGGTTGCGTCGCCTGCAAACCACCCGCCATTAACCCCATTATTCAACCGCTAGCGGCTAGATGGCGCCGCCATGCACCCCCGCGCTATACCCAGTGTCAGCTGGGGGATTCTCCCGTTAATTCCCAGTTTCCCGCTTTAAACTAACCGCACCAGCTGACACCGCCTATAGGCCCCCTTAATGTGTGTGTGTGTGTAAAGCAAAGTATATCTGAAAATAAATCTGTGTAAATTTAGATTTTCGAAAGATTTCCGATTTGTTTACAGCAACTGGCCAAGTGCTTTCAGTCCGGATTGCGCTTCGAGTCGCTTCACTGCCGTTAGGTTAGGTGTCATTGGGTGACAGTGTCCCGAATTTAGGTTAGAAGTGCATTCGAGTCGTTTCAGCACCAATTCCACTCCGACTCGCTCCACCCCCATCGGGGAACAACCAAACCGGACCAGAACAAGGGCGAAAAGTCGGTGAACCCCCGATGCCGATGGTATGTAGAGCATGAATCGACTGTTGATGTTTGACAGCGTGGATGACTTCAAATAAACAACACAAAACGTGCATAAACATCGGCAGAATGCGGGCGAAGTTGCCGTAAATCAGGTCAAATTCATGGATTTCGGTCGCGATAATCACCCACATTTCGTGCCAATTTCAGGTTAAAATTGCCATTAAATGAGTCGAAATGCCACCAGTGACAGAGCAAACAGCGAAAACTGTCATAATTGACTCACTTGACATTGACAATCACAACAAGTGTCACTTGACAGCTGTCAACGTGACACGCTTTCCCCAAAAATTTGACAATTAACCCACTCGAATGCGTTTATTGTTCTGAGTCACAGTGTGTATTCACGATTGACTCACGTGACATTGACAATCACAGCTAATTGACAAAACAGCGGCAAGTGTCCTTGTTTAGTCGCAGTCAAAGTGACAGTTTGGCACCCAAAATTTGACAATTAACCCACTGGAATGCGTTTATTGTCACTGTTACTCAGCTGTCCAAGTGAACGGTTTGGCCCCCAAAATGTGACAGCTCACGCACTTCAATGCGTTTGTTGTGCTGACTTTACCTGCCAAACTGTCATGTGACTCTGCCCCCAAACCTCTAAACCCGACAACAACGCGGGCGCCATCTGTTAACAGTGCCACCAACCCAGTGAGCGCTGACTGTTTCCCAGCGTCAAACCAACATTTTTACGGTGTATTTTGGCAGTGTGCACTGTCACAATTGACTCACTTGACATTGACAATCACAACTAATTGACGGAATAGCGGCAAGTGTCACTGTTCAGCCGCAGTCAAAGTGACAGTTTGGCATCGAAAATTTGACAATTAACGCACTGGCGTTTGCTGTCCCTGTTCTCAGCTGTCCAAGTGACAGGTTTGGCCCCCAAAATGTGACAGTTCACGCACCTGAATGTGTTTGTTGCGTTGATTTTACCTGCCAAAATGTCATGTGATTGCGCCCCCAACCTACTAAACCGGACGAGTGGGTGGCGCCATCTGTTAACAGTGCCCACCAACCCAGTGAGCAATGGGCCTGTTTCCCATCGACAAATTGACATTTTTACGGTGTATTCTGGCATTGATTAACAGCGACCCGATAAACATCTCCGACTGTTAAATAAACCGCATCGCTGATCGACTGTTTCGCTTTAATTGTGTTCGTGTTTCAATTAAATATTTAGTTTCACTCCATCGGGGGCAAACTGAAAATAGCCTGATGGCCAGCAAACGCCGTTAATCTTGGGCATGCGAATGCGGAAAAAAGCCACAAATTGCCGTTAGTGTGCCCGATTGGACGCGAAAAAACCAGCAGACGTACGTGCGCCCGTTACGGCGTAAATGCGGGTCGAGCGACCCGCTGAGATTTTCTGCCCAACCTGACAACGGCGATGTTGTTTCAGGGCTGCGACGGCGCCACTGGTCAATGACAGCCGGGTGGCATACGAGGGCGATTTGGTTGGTGCGGCTGTCGATGGGGCGCACGTCAAGTGAGCGCCGCGACTAGTTTGCGGCGAAGCAGAGCCGGCGCGGCGTTGCCACGATGCTACGCACCAGACGACGCGACAACAATGTGAAACCAAACCGCAGGTAAAACTGGGTTTTCCTGCACACATTGACGATTGATTGCGCAAAATGCAGGCTGGACCGGAAGTCGTCCAGAGGAATGCTGTACGAGAATGAGGAGCTGCGCCTCAAAACCATCAACATCAATGCGGAAATCGAGCGAGGTAAGGGATCGACTTGATCAGTGGGGGGCGGTGTTGCCGCGCAGTGGCAAATTTCCCGCTATATTGCAGGACAGTCGGACATCAAGAAGTTGAAGCGCGAGAACGAGATGCTGAAGAAGGAAATCTGGTGCTTGCGCGATGAGTACGACAAGCTGGACAAGCTGCTGAAGGACAAGAAAATCGACTTTTCCTCGTCGTCCACGACCTTCAGCAGCAGCTCGAGCGAAACGGTGGGTTTTCCATTCCAGTTCCAAGTTGCCCCCGGTTAAATCGCAAGTTTCCAGGAAAGCTGCTCGAGCTGCACGGAGGAATCCGAGGAGGTGGAAACGTCGCAAAACCTGCAAAACGTGCAGAAAACCAACCACCTGACCGCCATCCAGGACCAGTTCGACCATCTGTCGATTGTCACCGAGGAAACGTCGTGCGACAACTCGGAGCGCAACTCCACAAACACGCGGTAGGGGGCGCTGGCGCCGCAAATGCGCACGCGCGCTCTGTTGACCGCTGCTGTTACAGACAGTCGCTGCCAAACGACGCGAGCGACTCCATGCTGTGGAACTACAATGACAGGAACGCGATCAAGCCCGATCAGAGCTACCCGGCGTATGGCAGCGCCATCCAACCGAGCCGGTCGCAAACGCTGCCCAACCAGGTGCACTTCAACTGTTTCGCCCCCATTCAGCACTCGAAAAGCTTCGACGACAACCACTTCAGCCAGGTATGGCAACCGCGCCTTTGCCAGTGCCGTGGCTAATGGTGTGCGCAGGTGCACCAGCAGCCCCTCTACCCGGAGGAGCTGTACACGCCGCCGCTGTCCGGCCACGAGGGGGCGGCGCCGTCGCCCCCCATCGCCATCTCGCCGAGCCCGCAGGGCGAGAACTTCTTCAGCAAGAAACTGGTGCAAACCGACGCAACCAACTTCTACCAGAACGTGGTGTTGGGGTCGAAGAGCGCGCGCCCCCCGCCAGAGGCGCACGCGCTCGACAAGCGAGCCACCGACCTGATCGTCAAAATCGACAACCAAAACTTCAGCAAACCGCTGACGTACAGCAACACCACGCCCAGCACCACCTTCTCCAACGGCGGCAACCTGGAGGAGCTGCTGCACGACATCGAGTCGATTTCGCAGGTGGGCGCGGTCCGGACCAATCGGCTTTCACCACCACCTCCCACCCTTGTAGGATATACTGAAGCTAAGCGATTTGCAGAGGGGGGCCAATCAGCTGCCCGCGCTGCCCGAGGAACGCCCGGGGGCGGAGCCCCAGCGCGCGCTCACCGACAGCGAGGAGCGCCTGCACAAGAGCGAACTGAACGTGGTGCTGATGCCCAAGGCGATGCCCCTCATCGGCTTCGACAAGTACCGCAACATTCAGCGGTGAGTGAGCCAAGTGCGGCCCTGTGCGCCGGCAGCCGGCAGGCCACCTGGACTAGGCGACGACCTACGCGCCAACTGCTGCCTGCCCGCGCTGGCGCGTCAGACAAAGACAGCACTAGGCAGGGGGGGTGACGCACTTGCGCCGGCTCGCTGGCGCGACAGGGCCGGCCTTTGAACGATTTTTTGCAGGAGCTTCGAGAGCCTGAACGCGCAGCCGCTGTCCG